AAATAATAATAAATAACAATAATAAAAAATGAGGTTTTTAATTTCACTGCACATAGGACTGAATTTGTTAATTTTAAAAATGTGATCCAATGACCAGAATTTTTAAAACTTAGTGTATATCATGTTATCATCCCTCATTTCCCCTCTTGTTGTTTATGACATGAACCACAAAGAGAAACCAACTAGGCCCACTTCAAACAAACAATAGTTAGGGATGAGAAATGGGTTTGTAGGTACACCATGGAATCAGTCTCTTTGGACGAGGTGTGGTTCTTAAAAGAACCGGTGAGTATAAACTCGACATTTTGGCCAGTGTGCTCTGGCCGTCCTCAGGAGAGTGTGCCGGAGTGGAGTGGATGGCTGGTTATAAAGGTAATCCGGAAGCGGTGGAGCGTGGAACAGGATTCGCAGGTTGTGTGACTCAGCGTGTGCCGTGTTGCATGAAGGTGTTGGATCCTGGAATTGGCGGGAAACCTTGGGTTCGGGTATAGGGGACCCTTATGCAAAGGGGGGGTGCGGGTGGCTTCAGGTAGAGAAGACCCTGATGCCTGGGTGTGGGACATGGGTTTCAGGTATAGGGGACCCTAATGCCATGGGTGGGAGGGGACTTTGGGTATAGGAGACCCTAACTTCCTGGGGGATGGCTTGGAAAGGTTGATACGTTGATAGCCATTCCTCTTGAGGGTGGACTTGATGTGGTGCAGTTCTTGGTTTGGTCACAATTGTTCTGGTCGCAGATCTCGTAGGCTCTGTAGACGAGGGTGCGGTTGATGCAGGTCTTGATGGCTGGGTGGCGGAAAGATCGCTGGTGCAGGTACCGGTCGGTGTGGGTGAGCTTGCGGTGGACACGGTGATGGAGGGTGCCATCTGGGTTTCTGGACAGTTGAACATTTAAGACGGAGAGGTGTCCATCTTGTTCTTGTTCCATGGTGAACTTGATAGTGGAGTGTTGCTTGTTGAGGTACTCAAGGAATTCTTGGAGGTGATCTTGACCATGGGGCCATATGATGAATGTGTCGTCAACATAGCGCGGCCAAATGGTGGGTTTGCAGTTGGCAGTGAGGAGAGATGATGTTTCAAATTCTTCCATAAAGATGTTAGCTAGGACCGGGGATATAGGGGATCCCATGGAGGTCCCAGCTGTCTGCTCTTAGAACTGGTCTTGGAACAGGAAGTAGCTGGAGGAAACGCAGAGGCGGATGAGGTCAGCGATCTGGGCGGAGGAGAGAGCTGTGCGGTCAGCGAGGGATCGCTGTCCAGCCGATCCTTAGGAATCTGGCATGTTTTTTCGGTGGGGACATTGGTGAATAATGACACCATGTTGAAGCTCACCATGATGTCTGTTGGCTGTAGTGACAGGTTTCTTGTGAGCTTCACGAATTGGTTGGAGTTGGAGATGTGGTGTGGTGCTGACCAGGGGCTGGAGGAGGCCGGTCAGGAAGTGGGCAGTTTCGTACGTTGGTGGACCCCTTTAAGACACAATGGGGCACAGGGGGGTGTCCGGCTTGTGGATCTTGGGTTGACCAAAGAATCTTGGACAGGTGGACGCTGATGGGCGGAGGCGGCGGTGTAGGTCTGCTGGGATGGAGTTGGAGTTGTGGAGGGCGAGGAGGCAGCTGGCGATGCATTTTTCGATGGCTTGAGTGGGGTCTTTGGGCAGGGGGCGGTAGGTGCCGGATGTGAAGATTTCCTGTACCTTGTTGGAGTACGATGCACGGTCCATGACCACGGTGGCGTTGCCCTTGTCAGCTGTGATGATGTGTATGGACTTGTCACTGTGGAGATCGCTGAGGGCTTCGACTTGAGGTCTGGTGAGGTTGGACTTGGCCAGTTTGGGGAGTAGGAGGGCCTGGTGGATCTTGGCTCGGATGTTATTGGCTGTGGTCTTGTCGAGCTTCCATATGGCAGGTTCCGTGGCTTGGATGATGTCGGCGAGGGGGACAGCGCGTGGTGGGGTGGCGAGGTTCATGACTAGGGATATGACATCTGTCTTGGTGGTTGACAGGGTGCGTTGGTTGAGGTTTACGACTGTGTGTCTTTGGATTTCACTCTGGCTGCGGAGGTGGGCTGGGAGGGGCACGGGTGGTATTTGCCGTCAGGATATAGGGGATCCCTTGGGCCCGGGCGTTGGAATAGAGATACAGACGATCTCATCTTCCCATGGGAAAGGCGCTGGAATTTCAGGAGTTGTTTGTTGCGGGAGGTGGTGAGTGCATGGTGGCTCGTCCCTCACCCAGTCCTCCAGCTTATGGCCTCAATTATCGCTTATGAAATTTCCTGTTTTTCAGCTCTTATATTCGATATGAACCCAAAACCATAAAAAAATTTGCACGAAAAGATCTTCAACACAGGGACAGACTAGAGATGATCTTTTGACTATCGGAAAATTACATAAAAGTGATTTTCAACGGGCTACAACTCTTCAGTTTCCATGATGTCTAAGGCACATGCAGTCGATCACTTGCAAATTATATTATTAATAGAAAATAATCATAAACGAATAACAGTCTATATCAATTTTGCAAAGGTATATTGGCAGTTGGTGTTTGCTGTGCAAAAAATACACTTATTATGTGATCTCTATAGTACATGTTTGTCACGTGATGGTACTTTCGGACAACATGAACTGACGTCCGTTGAGCTAAATACGTATACAGCTTTTTAACCAAGCGATTAGGGACCTCGTTGGAAAATTCCTGTCATGCGATTATGGCATCAAATTAATTTTTGCTCGAAGACTGAAGATCACAGCCCTAAGAGTTTGTCTCTGCCTTTTATTCAAAATTAGTTTGTCCAGAATTGAGTCGTAAGAGTCATAAAATCACCAATAAAACTGTTTCAATTTTCTCATGGAAATGTTTTTATAATTTATCGCAATGCATGCTCGTGCTGTTTGGCAGAACCAGAGAACCCAATGTTTGATTAACAATAGTTATTGATGCAAGACTCTCTGAAATCGCACACACAAATAAAAAAATGAAAACTTGGAGCGGTAGCATATTTTGAAATTGCCCAGTATATAAACAGCTCAACCTCCTCTTCAATCTCCTACATGCATGAGCTTGATTTATTAGGCTCAGGCTTTGTTATTGCACCTTCATGAAAACACTCACCCACTTGCCTGTATGTCCTCGCGGGCACCAGAACAGAAATGTCTGCATCCGTATTTCCTCGTAAATACACGTCTGTCCACCCCAACACCCATATGCCCACATAAGCACCCGCAAACGGCTCCAGATGGTGGACCCCGGCATTCTTGCCTACATCAGCAATGAACACCCCTAAAATCGACCTACAATACCCATTTGTCTGTCTCGGTTATTTATTCGCTTTTCAAAAAAAAAAATCGATATGTTCCTCAAAAAATCAAATAAAACAATCAATAATGTGTTCTCTATACAGACTCCTCAAAGCCCAACAAGCCCTGAGTGTTGGCCTGCAGCTCGGTAGTTCAGCGAACCGGAGTTTGATGGAGGGCATAAAATTGCTGAGAAATGTGAAAACGTACAGTACATGTACATGTACCATAATTAAGTTTTCTTGGAATGGTATTTAAACAGATTTGTCAAATAAACAAGTTATGCTTCTGTTTGGTAATTGTGCCTCAGGGGCGCATTTTCTTATCCAAATAATCAGGATGGAAAATAATGGGCATCAGTGTCATATACATGTTCATTTTATTGATCTCACTCACTCAGTAATGCGTAAATCACTCAACAATAGGGTTGTTTTTAAAAGTGCCACCTTTCTCCTTCCTGGTTTCAGAGTACTGCTCTTTGACTGAGAAGGCTCCATTGATTGAAAAGCCTCATACCGCTTGAATGGATGATGTGCCAATGCAGAAATGGTACAAAGCAGCTGAAGTCTTCAGACAAGTTCACATAGAATGGCAAGGATGTCCACTGATCGCAGGAACTCTTTCATCAGGCAAAATCAACGTATTATGTAGAGCAAGAACACAGCAAACCTGTGACTTCACACCAAGCCGTTTCCCGACCCCATCCAGACGAAAAGGACCATTGTGTTTTCCGTAATAAATAGGCCAATAAAATATCCAACTTACAATTTCCCTTTGGTGAAGGAAATGTGTAGATTATAACAATGCCACTCTTTCACAAGATGTCACTTTTGTACTAAGTGAAGAAGAGAGCACTTTCTTGATGCAGTTACGTACATGTAAACTTTAGATGACCGTGGAAGAACAATGTCATTCTTGTACATGTACATGTATGTCTTGCTTATCCAATGAAAGGGGAGAATTACAGAAAACGTCTTCGTTTTTAAAGGCATTGTCAGACACTTCATTGAAGTGAACTCAAATATAACTGGGGTTTCACTCTAGTTTTGTTAAATTCCCAACAACCAAACTGCTCATTTGTAGTAAATTCACACCATTCAAGTAATGCAACTTGCTCTTTGGACGATAGAACAATGCACATACATGTATGCATGTGCGGCAATGCCCAATATAGGTATAGAATAATTTACTGTTTCTCTGATCGGTCAAACCCACTCAGAACTTGAAGCAAACAGAGGCATACTGATTTACAAAACAGTAAAATGAGTCTAAACCCCTTTTCAAAATAATGGTCAACATGTTTCTACAGCTCTTGTCAACAAAACAAAGAAACAGAGGGAAAAAAGAACAGTTGCCGGTTATGAAGACTCCCAAATCCCAAAGTTTCAAAAAAGACAAAAAAAACAATCCCAGCATTTATCACTTAATAACAATAACAACGATAATAATCAATCTAAAACACACCGTTTCCGCCAAAAATTGGCACATGACACCCATGTGTTAGTCCTAGATACATGTACATGTAGTTACCAGGCCAGTGATTCAACCATTTTTTGATTCCACAAAGTTTTCCAATACATGAAAAGATCTATGTCCCACTAAAAGCCACGGAACAGTCCAACTTGACATACGACTAACAATTGGACCATTGATCAATATAAATCATGTCATTACATGTACATTGCTTTCCACGACCACCGTTTGCTGTCTGAAATTTTTCAGGATATCCCTACAGAGGTTATTAGATGTTATCGTCCACTTCCACCACACTCAGAACAAGAGGGTCTTCATGATTTTTTTATGCCGTTCATTGGCGCCTACCGTCTGGTCCGGACGGCATCCCGAAACACAATGTGAGGAGGAACTGATTCTCAGTCGGGCCGGCAGACTAGGCTTTCCACCGAGGTCACACGTTCATTGCGCATGAGCAATCCTCGTATTCACTCATTATTTATTGCATGCGACAGCACCTGTGTGCTCTTGCGAGCGCTCACCAGATCTCGTAAATGTTCACAGGTACCCGCAAGCGCTCGTTACCGGCAGCAAATTTTACAAGGAGATGCCGGTATGAGGGTTTAGCAGAAACTTCGAGTGAGGAGGAAGGAGTACTTCAATTTAATCATGGAGGTAGAATGTGATTCTACCTCCATGATTTAATCATCACTGTACATTGTATTCTACAGTTCTCACATCTTTTTCAAAAAACAATTCCTAAAAAAATCCATGCTGTTGCCATTGGAACTCCATGGCAACATAGAATTCAACATTTCTGATACTGTGATAATATAGTTAGGCCTACCACAATGATATACGAACTGTGTAGGCATAGGCCTATAGGCCTTACATGTACTTTAAAATTTTCATGAAAATATTTAACTTGGGTTCGAATGCATGGGACCAATATTATGGTTCTTCTACTTCTATGATGATGGTGTTGGGGTGTTCATTATCTTTAGCACCCTGTTGCAATAATAAGGAAAACGGAGACCACTTTTTATTCCTAGTAGTAGCAGCTTTAGTTTAGGTAAATTTTGACAATATTTAAGCAAAAAACTAGTATTGATTCTGATTCAGATTCTGCTGGTAAACATCACATGCAACTTTGAGCTGAACTTTTCAAATTGTCCAGTTCTTGTACGTGTAAGTAAGCTACTGAAGACATGTCTAGCTCTGCGCCCTGAACTAAAGTTAACCCCAAGTTGGTGTGATGTTTCCAGACAGAGGCTTTTCCAACTAAATGATTCAGATTCAGAATTTTCTTACTTGAGTTTGACAAAAGATGACTGTAGACTATGATCACTATCCGCTTGGCCTATCAGGCCTATTTCTTCCACGTCTGGTTCCCCTACCCAGCCACTGTGGATATACTGAATTTCATAAAAGGATGCACTGAACCAATTCAAGCTCCACTGAAAATAGTGTACAATCAACCAAGTTTGGAGCCCTATGGCAGGCAACTGAAGTCCCTGAGGCCTCTCAAACAAAAACAATGTGTTATTTCGTCCTTCTGATTTCATTTGATTTTCAATTTCTAGTAGGTTAACTGATGAATTTTTTAATTATCTGCCCAAAACAAACTCACCCCCCCCCCAAAAAAGTAAAGGTTCCAAAGTCTTCTCAGCAGCCACTTTTCAAATGACATCCCTCACCTTCATCGGGCTCTTCTGACAAATTTTCAATCACATTTTTGTCTGCTTTGCCCCCAGATGGGTGCCCCTGAATCTACAGAGGTGATCTTGGGCCATACAGACACAATCCCACCATTTCGTGGCCCAAACATACCCCTCTTTTCGAAAGAATGTCTGGCGGAGAATTTTCCTTGAATTGGGACAATGCACCCAAAAGAAACTTCATCCCGGTCAGGGAACCAGACTACAGCACAGGCACTAATTCATCTTTGTTCAAACGCATTACAAATTCGCAATTTTCATTGCTTCATTTATGCTGCCGTTTTACCCATAATTTCCCTCAAAAACCAAAACCCTCCCCTTTCCTTTTTCTGATGTGAAAGAGGACATCACCACAAACATATTTTAGAATTTGTTTCCTTATTAATTTTATTTTATAGGGCCTACTATCACCCCTGACTATAGGAACAAGGTGCTAATGGTAATGAACAGATGAACAACACAGGCGTACATACTACATGGGGCCCCAAGGCTAAAGGGTGCAGTCCACTAATTCAAGTGAGAAGTTCTGCCCAGTACTTTCGAAATAGGAGATTGTTTGGCTCCAAAATGACGAGATTGTGTAAATCGTTGCCAGGATCAACTCCCTGAGTCTTTGAGAATGTTAAGCTTTCATATGAGAGCAGAATGGCAAAAACTACGGTTGAAAAATGGTCCTGAGTTTGGGGTGATTTTGTTTTGTGGGAATAATTAAAAATGTAATTTGTTAACCCACACAAAATTGAAAGCAACAGACAGATTAGGGACCAGACAATAATTTCATTCGTGTTTCAGGAATCTCAGGGACGTTGGTATGCATGTTGTTGGGCCCTAGCCCTGAACAGTAATGATTTTACATTTGTTTTTCAATGGGGCTTGAATTAGTGGACTGTACCGCTTGGCCCATGGCTAAAATGAGAAACTCGTCGAAGGCTAGAAAATATGAATTCCTTGCCAACTTGGCAGTTGTTAATAATGGGTGGTTCCGTTTTTAACGGAACGGGTCCTGAAAATATCGGAACAGAACAGACGGGGACCTCAACGGCTTTGCGAGGCCGAGTTACATGTACATGTACCTGTCTGAAGGTCGCCTGCGATTCAGCCCGAGATTTAGCCCATTAATGCCCAGGCGCAGGCACCGCGACAGGCAAGCACATGTGTGCACACACATTAACGTTCACACTCGAATGGCGCCCACGGTGGTGATAACCAAAGATTGTATGGCGCCGCGCAGCGGCGCTATACAATCTTTGGCGATAACACCTTTATGGCCGAATTACCCATCCTGGCCTACGCCGCTATGGGTGCACTGCCCAATTCAAGGGAAATTCTTCGGCAGGCCGAGGCGCTCAAAAAGTACCCTTACAGTTTATTTGGAAAAGAGGAGATTGTGTGGCCCAAGAATTTGTGGGATTATAAAAGAATGGCCCAGAATGAACTCCCTAGATTCAAGGGCTCCCATCCCAGGGTGAAGCATAGAAAAATGCCACTGAAAAATTGTCCGAAGAGCCTGAAAAGGTGGAGGGACGTCATTTGAAAAATGGCCACTGACAGACTTGGGAACGTTCACGTTTTGGAAGGTGAGTTTGTTCTGGGTGGATAATTAAAATTTTC